TCAGGGCTGCTACCTGTCCTGGCATGCACCTTACCCCACATATATTGATTCCAAGATGAGGGGCTTTCCCCCCACCCCCTATGTTAAATAGGGGAAGGAGGGGGGACCTTGTCTTGGAATCAAGTAAATATGGTGCATTTTTTCTAATAGAAAAGTCCACTCAAGAATTCAGAGGCCTAATAATACAATAAAGTAATAATTATTGTTCACATTGTGACAAAATGTATGCACCTATGGTGAAGAATTTAATTTAGCAACCAAATCCAGGAAATACACACATGCACCTGTACTCCCATCAATATGCCTGCTAACCTGGCTTAGATGAATGTTGTGGAAACAAACAAACAAAATACAAGAACTAATAGAGAACAGAGAGGAGGGATAGAGTGGAAAGAGGGTAGGGCAGAGGGTATTACATAACTGCTTGCAGAGTGAAGGGGAGTTTGTGTTCACTACATCACCAGACTGCATCTAGAATTGGATGGACTAAAGGCAATTCTAACAGGCAATATTATCTGCTGGATTTTTTTTTAATCTCTAATTTTCCTGGCTAATGTTACCCGAGTAGAAGGCAGGGTAGATTTGCACTGTATAGTGTAAGAAAAGTAGCGCGTGTGTATATATCACAAGCTTTCATTAGCTGAAGCTCACTAGAGCAGATACTGTGAAAGGACGGGTAGAAAGCAGAGTACAAGAGAGAAATTAAAATACAGAAAACAAGGGAAGCAGGAAGAAAGAGGGACAAGGAGAGAGGAGGGGGCAGTGGTGGAAGAGGCAAGCAAACAAGAGTAAATTCATAGGAACAAAGGAGTCACAAAAGCTAATTCAGGTAATGGGATAAGATTTCACTGTCACCGTTTAAACCATCCTGCTTTTTTTGTTAAAAAAAAGCAGGATGGTTTAACCATAGGATTTTTTTGTTACACACAAATATATATCAAGAACCATACTCAACTTTATTCACATGTACTTGAGGTCATTTACACTGACTTCAAATCGGCTCACTAGAGTAGTTTCATGACAAGAAGGTAAAAATCACATGGCTCTAGATATGTTGATTTGTATCTAATCTGAATAAGGCTTAAACATAAACCCTGCCAATTGCATGCAGTCTTTATCACTGGGTGTAGTTCTGGTGAAGACACTGGTACATCTGATGTCAGTTTTGACAGTTTGACTCTACTAACAGTTCGCAGAATTCTGATAATATCTGTTTTATAAATACTTTGGACAAATATTCTAGTACAAAAGACTTAAAGAGGCAAGTAGTATGGATGGCAATTTGGGCAGCAGTGACCATGAGATTACTGAATTCAGTATCCTGAGGAAAGGAAGGAAGGAAGGAGAGCAGCAAAGTAAGGACCTTGAACTTCAGAAAAGCAGACTTTGACTCACTCAGGAAACTGATGAGGAGGATGCCCAGGGAAAACAGTCGGAAGGGGAAAGGAGTCCAGAAGAGCTGGCTGTATATTAAAGAAATCTTACTGAGAGGACAGGAATGAACTACCCAGATGTGCAGGAAGACTAGCAGG